TGATTCATGCTTGAAATTGATGGTTTACACTTTTCATTGCACTTGTTAGCCACATATAGATTACATAGTATTATTTCCCCAATTAGTTGAAAGTGAGTGAGTTAGGGAATGTGCTTAGTGATGAATCCTACACCCTAAGTCTCTTTCCAATCTCTTAAACTCTATTTCTTTATTGCAATCATTTAGTTTAAAATTAGTTTTAATCACAAACAAAACCCTTTTGGCAATCACATAAGCACTAAAGTAGAATTCAATTTTGGAAAACCTATAATTGTTTAGATCTCTTGGGACGATCCCTGCTCACTTCATACTCCATGGTATAAGTGTTTAGTGGTTTTATAAATTTTAAAATATGGTGCCCACTTGACATTATTTCTAAACCTAAAGTGTTGTGCATTATTTTGTGCACACGCTCGGTCGCACCAATTCTCTAGATTAATTCTGGTTTGTGGTTAAGTTAGATCGACTGAGTAAGTTGAATGACTACCTGGATTTATTGTTATTCGCGGTGAAGTCAGATCGACTGAGTAAGTTGAGTGGCTAACCGGTTTAGGAGTCTTATGTCAAATCAACAAAGAATTGAATGACGTACTCTGGTTTTGGATGGACTTTATATATATATGATTATAATACCACGATATGAGCTTGAGTCTCAATGTCGATGGTTAGGGCGCGTATATGCAGTGGATGCGTAGCTGGATATGATAGGTTGAGGTATACCCTGTTAGGCTTAGGTACTCATGCCCACTTTGGTGCGTTTTGCATGTTGCCTTCTATTCAGGTTGAAACCCACTATATAGTCCAGTGAATGTCCTTAGTGCGGATATATATATATATATACATATATATGTATAGATTAGATAGATATTGTTGAGATATCTAGGGTGTATCTGCGTATCGGGTCACTGTATGGATTGCAGTTAGATTAGAACTTGTTCGTGGGTGTGACCCACTCTTATATTTTTCAAGTAACGGATGGTTCCAATCTTAGGGCTTGTTCAGCTAAGCAGAGGTGGTCATTCACTCTACTAACGACGTAAGATTTCCTTCTATGTTTTGGACTTGGTTTTATTTCCATTTATTTAGTTTCAATTGAGATTTTAATTAAGGGTCCACTAGATGGATTCCCGAGTTGTACTCTTGGAGGTTTTGGAAGGATTAGATTATTTAATCTTTATTGGTTAAGGATTTTTATAATTAGTTTTTCTTTCAGCTTTATTCCACTTCATATTTCATTTTTATATTCTGTGTTCGTTTTAAAATACTTTAATTGTTTGATATTCCCTCGTGTTTGGGCTTGGACCTAATCAACCCGTGTCTAGGATCCGAGGGGTATCACATGGGAAAAGAGAGAGGAATGAGAGAATTTGGAATTAGAGAAAAGGATTCTGAATTGGAGTGCTTTGGAATGAACCCAAGGGGGGGGGTTTATATAGGCCTCATGGTGCCTTTTGGTTTTAATATTTTTCGATATGGGACAAATACTTCCCATATTTTACAAACCCATTTAGGTTTATCAAAAACCT